TTTTTTTTTTTTTTTACTTCTTTATGACTTTCCCCTTATTTCTTGCAAGAGTTAGGTAAATTTTAAAAGGTGTCAGGTAAAATGAGTATGCATGAATGTATCGATGATGGAATTAGATGGAGAAATGTTGGTAGATTAGAAGCAGACCAACCACAAGCGCAGATGGCTACTGAGGTCAATGTAACGCTCTATGTAGTCTGCAATTTGTGGAAACAATTTCAGGAATTGGATCCATATCGAGAAGATAATCATTATTTGGCCCTTTCGTCAAATGACACATAAATGTACAGCTTCACAGTTTTTGTGTGAGCTGTATGCTGCTGTTAGAACCCAAGTTTCACAGTCATTACAAATTCATTTCATTACATTACAATTTCTGTTGCAAATATAAAGGGGTATTTTTTGGATCTAGGTTTTGAATATGAGAATTTTAACACAGAATTACACCAAATATTTGCCCAAAGACTTCATGAGATAGGGTTGTATGCCAGAAGACCCACTGTTTGCATGCACATGTATCTTGTTTACTACAGTATACAAGAGAGAGCATTTAGCATGGTGATGATAATATGAGCCTTGGACCAGACTTCAGTGGAGCACCTTGCCTTTCACAGATGAGTCAAGATTCAGCCTAGACATTGATTCTCTGCATACATGTACGGATCTCAGCTTACAAGTGGGATAATTATGGTGGTGGACATGTAATGGTTTGGGCAGGCATGTTGAATGCCCACACCCCTGCATGTGTTTGACAAAGATTCCCTGACTGCCATAATATATAGAAAAGAAATTTTAGAGGCCTATGTTCAACTTTTCAGGGGTGCAGTTAGTCCTAGGTTTCTCTTAATGGATGACAATGCTCATCCACATAGAGCTCAGCTAATTGATGATTACCTGGAAAGAGAGCAAATTTGCTGCATGGCTTGACCATCCAGATCTCCTGAACTTAACCCTGTGATCAATTAAATGTGAGAGAAATCTCATAAAGAATATATCATTTTTCCATATCCATTACAGAAATAAAATGATGAAAATGTGTTATAAAAATTATTAGAATCAATATTCCTACTCAAGTTTAAATACTATCTAAACATAACCCCAACACACATGTACCAACTGGATTAACTGATTTACAGAATAGAATAAAAAAGGTTAAATCATGTAAGTGAGATAAAATCCTTCGAACTCTTAGAGTACACCCCACTAGAATGATTTTCCACCTAACAACCCTGATGAATGAGTGAAGCATTTTAGCAGAATACCTACCAGAGTCTCATAAGTAGTAGTCAAAATTAAATGATGAATTTTGATTATACTAAACAGAAATAATTATATTATTCAATTATTAATAAATCAGTAATATTATAGATGTTACCATATCAAATTCATCTCTAGCACATATCTCCCTTTTTGTTTCAAAATTTTCCTAGAAGTCTGTTCGTAGTAGCTCTTACAGAAAAATGAAGTGACATGAATGAAAATTACAAAATCTTGCTTTATAACAATTCATTATATAACTATAAAAATATATAAAGTGTATGAATATGGATAATAATACTGAAAAAGAAAATTCAAAAGAAATAAAGGCTACTTTAAAATAAAACAACAATATTAATTAAGTATATAAACCATAACATTTAGGTTTGGTTCGGGTTTATTTAATTATGGCAAAGCACACTAGGGCTATCTGCCTAAGGGGAGGGATGCCTTTGTGGAGGACTTTCTAAGGGAAACTGACTCGCATACACTTACATAGAAAAATGAAAACGTACATGCAGCCATCCTTTCGATTTCGACCCCGGACCGAACTACCAGTGTTCAGCGACTTTATGGCTCGGCCACTGGTGGGCCTCCATAAAATTTAGAAAATGCATGCAAATTACCAGAGGCCAGAAGATCTGTATTTTTTAAGGCACACAATGAAACAATCCAGTTGTCTTGCTCAGTTTCTGGGTCACATCCATGTGCTTCACTGATTTTAAACAATGGTTTCTTTTTATGAATACTCCATAAGAGTAAAGAACTAAAAAAATAAATAAATAAAATGAATAAAACTTTAAAAAAATACATTAATTAAATGCTTACCTGTACAAATCTGTATAATCAAATATTTACAATCCATTTCCCTACACTGTAGCATAACTAATTATATAACATTACAAACATAATTTTACAACACTGCATTACTCTGCTGAAATGAAGTAAAGAAGTTCATAAAAACTATCTTTTTTTAAATTTTTTTTAAACTGAAACAAATATTTAGATAATCAATAAAAGACAACTTTCTCAATAGATTTTCTAATATTTTGAAATATTTAAAACCAGCAAATTAGACTGAAATTTCAATTTTCAAAATTCTTTTGAGCTTAATTTTTTCTTAAAAATTTTTACTTAATTTACTCAACAATAAAACCATTTGCATTATCCGCATATACATGGATATTACTTGGTCATTATCAAAAGACAACTAGGGGAAGGGCAGTCAGCCTTTTAATAGCTCTTCAGTATTTAGTTATAGTTTATAAATATTTGTTGTTTAATTTATAAAACAAGTTAAAAGATAATTCAAATTATCAAATTATTATATATATATATATATATATATATATATATATACAGTACAAAGTCTGAGATCCAGACTTGTTGTGACTTCGGGAATTCCGGATTTGGGATTTTTTTGGTTATTAGATCATCAGTTTAAATCTAGTAAGATAGCATGTAGAAATTATAAAATTAAAAATATGAAATCGTGTTTTATGAAATAATAAAGCATTTATAATCTAAAGGGTATCACAATTTACAAAAAAGAAAAGAAAAAAAAAGCTTATTATTTATTTGTTTACTTTATTAAACATTTTTTCAATGTAAGTTGTTTAAGTTGCTTCGTTTTTTGTGCTAATACTTTCTCTTTAATTCTATAAACAGACATAATTTCTTGTTCAGTTACAAAGTTCCACTGTTCAAGTCCTGTAATTGCTGTGTCGAGAATACCGACTAACTTGTCAATCAAAATTTTTTCATTTTCAATAACCTCTGTCACTTTCTTCACTAATGGATTTCTTCTTTTTCTGGATCTAGAGCCATACTACAGATTTCACCATCCGTTCGTTAACTGATTGATGATTGGGGCATTGTCATCACAATGAAAAGCTTATGTTATATCATCTTCATTTATTACCAGCTTCTCCACACATTTCTTTACAAAGTCCATTAACTGGAAAATTTCACCTTTAGTGTGCGATATTCGAAAACGTTCAAATTTGCAGCTATCATCGTTCATCCTACCATAAAATATGGTAGCGGGCCATAAATTATGCTAAGCATTTTTTAACGATTCATTCTTCACGAGACGCATTCCTTCACGATTCTTGCGATGCTCCACACAGCAGATTTTATGCTGAAATATTTCAAAAATTCTCGAACAGTCTTGTCATTGGTTCAAGAAATTTAACATAGTATTTACTTTAAAAAATGCTACTTTATATTTACATTGCAGTGTGCGCACTATTCCGATATCCTGTAGTACGTAGATGTACAATTTGGAGGGAAGAATAATATGGATACATTATCTTTCACTAAAACTGTCAAGTGAAGTATGCGCCGAACAGTTGTCAACAATCGGGACTATTTTGGGGTCATAAGGTAAACCAACCGAATTCAAATGTCGCCGAGCCTTGGGTATAAAATGATTTTCAAACCAATCATTCATTAACGCTTGTGTCACCCATGCCCTTTTATTTGCACGATATATAACGGGAAAAATCGATACTCCTTTAAATGCTCGAGGTCATACATGTTTTCCGTTTACTAAAAGTTTGCACTTAAACGTTCCTGCAGCATTTGCACATGCTAAAATTGTTAGTCTCGCTTTGGAATCTTTGACACCACTTGGAGCCTTTTCTGTAGAGGTTGCCAAGGTATTTCGCGGTACATATTGAAAGAAAAGAACAGTTTCATCAGTGTTGTAAATTTGTTCTGGAGATAATTGTTTACTAGTAATGAGTTCAATGAATTCATCTGCAAATTGTTCAGCAGCTTCAGTATCAGCTGAAGCTTTTTCACCTGAAATTTTTAATTGTCTTATACCATGGCGATTTTTTAATTTGGTTAACCAACCTGTTGAATATGTGCACTCATTTCTTCATGAAATATTTTGGCTTGAGCCTTTAGCATTGAACACGTCAATGGCATACCCTCGCTGCTACGGTGTCTGACCCATTCAATCATCACTTTGTCGTGATCGTCACTTTTAGCATAACAAACCCTTTTTCTGTTATTTATTGCAAGTGGGGTGTCGGAATTTACAAAAAGTTCCTTTTTCTTTTTGCTTATGTCATATACAGTTGACTTTCCAATGTCATACTCCTCGCATAATTTTGAGACAGACATGCCTTTATCCATTTTTTGCAGCAATTCCACTTTTGGTTTGATGGACATTGAAACATGCTTTCACTTTGTAGATACTTTGGCAGCTCTAGAACTGGAAACTCTTTTTGACATAATCGAAAGTTCAAGCTTAATTTTTATAAAATTGGTCCAACAGTCTGCAAAATATAATATGCCAGATCCAATTAGAAGATTAGGAACAGCGCAATCTGCAACATTAACTGAAATGTCTTAGAATCAGTAAAGATAATTTTAGCCTAGCTTATACCATCCATTATTCTTTAAACGTACATGCATAAAGCATACAAAAAAAGTTTGTGGCTTTGAGGTCCGGATTATAGATCATTCTGGATAATGGATGTCTGGATTATGGACTTTCTACTGTATACCTTTATCCATTTTTTGCAGCAATTCCAGTTTTTGTTTAACGAATATCGAAACATGCTGTTGCTTTGTCGACCCTGTTGCAGCTACAGAATTATTTCAGCATAATCAAAAGTTCCAACTTTAATATTTAATAAAAATGCTTAATAATAACAGCCTGAAAAAAAAAAAAAAAAAAAAAAAAAAATGAGCTGGATGAGAAAGTTAAGGAACAGCACAATCCACTATATTAACTGAAATTGCTTGGAATCAATAAAGTATAATTTTAGCCTAGCTTAATAGCGCCCACTATACATTATTGGCTATGTATCATGAGATTGGCGACAGAAGACAAGTTGTTCCGCTAAATTTTGTCTTGCTTCTATCACATACTGTGACATTTAAGCTTGGATAGTATTAGTTATTTATTATATTTACGTCTGTTTCTTGCACATGCTTAAGGCTTAGCTGAGTCCTGAATAAATAAATTTCCACATATATTTAAAGCTTAGGCATGGAGCTAGATATTTTACCGCCTGATGTAGTCTCTGCGGGTCCTAAATTCTGCGCTAAGCGCCTCCCTAAGTTCTAAATTTTTGCCGTTCATAAATTTCAGGTTCCCGTACTTTCCCTAAATTCTCAAAATTTTGTCATCCCTTAATTTTGTTACTTGGTGCTTCACTAAATTCCAAAAATTCTGTCTTCCCTAAATTCAGCAATACGAACTCTGGCACTGGTTCTGGGTTTATGTGAAAACAGATCAGTTATTCTTAATTCAATCAGCACTAAATGTAAGCTTTTAGTTTATGAGTATCACAAATAAAATCTATTTTTAGCATATGGAAAGAAATGTTTGTTAAATTTTTCCTCATCATCCCCCGCAGAGCAGCGTGAAATTAATAAACAGATTTCGGAATGGTTAGAGAAACATAGGATATGCTTTTATCCATTTTTTGCAATTCCACTTTTTGTTTGATGGACATGGAAACATACTTTTGCTTAGATCCTTCGGCAGCTCCAGCATCGGAAATTCTATTTCGCATAATCGAAAGTTCAAGCTTACTCTTATAAAATTGCTCTAACAGTCTGCAAAAAAATAATAAGCCGGATCCAATTCGAAGATTAAGGAACAATGCAATCTGCAACATTAACTGAAATAGATAATTTTAGCTTAGCTTATACCGTCCGTTATACATTAAACACGCATGCGTAAATGTATTATGCGCATGCGTAAACACCTATGCGCATACGTGAATGCATTATGCATTGACGCATATGCAGAAAGTTTGTAGCTTTGAAGTCTGGATTATAGATTATTCCGGATTATGGGTGTCTGGATTAACGACTTTTGACTGTATAATGGACGTCTGGATCTCGGACTTTGTACAATATATATATATATATAAGTTTTGGAAAGGAGGGGAGAATGATCTTCTAGCAATGATGAAAGGGGTGCATCGGACTAAGAAGGTTAAGAACCACTGGATATAGACATTCTAAAACTAAGTTCACATTATTATTGATCAAAATTATGGGCATAAGCTTAATAATACCGTTATTCACATCCAGTAGTTTATCTATAATTTTAGTCATTTACTGCATCACCAAAAGAAAAATAACAAATAAATCTCAAGAAATAATAATAACAGCATTAGGCAACAATTTGAAAAAGATAATTATCCTCCTAAAATACTGATTTTACTCACTACATTACATTACATTGCAATTTCTGTTTCAAATATAAAAGCATATTTTTTGGATTTATCACAAACAATTCGCAAGAGAAAAGCCAGGTTTTGAATATGAGAATTCTAACACGTAATTATACAAAAATCAGTTGCACTTGGACTGTAAAAAAATTACAGTAATTCAAAACCAGTGAAAGGTATTAGTTTTTAAAGAAAACAACTGAAAATTATAATGGTTGGTTTAAATTCCAATGGAAAACATTTGCATAATTCAATAGGTAAAATTTAAGTTGAACATTTTAATTTACTTTTTTTTAATCTTCGAATGTACAATAAATGAGGATAAAAAATTCCATTGCCTTCTTATTGCAAATGCTATAAACAAATATATACTTTTTGAATGTAAAGTATTAATTCAATGTCATTCACAAGAAGAGAAAAATAATAATAAGCAATACAGTACACATGCACACTGTCCAGAGATTACAGGACAGTAGTTTGTGAAGAATTATAACCAAAATTTGAATTGGCCTCGAATTTTCATTTGTGTCAGTAGCAGGAAGCCTTTTTCTCATTTTCTCTTCCTCAATCTTATTGAATATCTTTAAACTTAAGTGTTTGTTCAGAACTGTTATTAAACTTATGTGTTTGTTCTAGAACTGTTATGTTTACTTTAAAAAGTTATAATTGCTTGCAACCATTCAATCTTATAGTAGTAAAATAAAGGTTATTTAAAGATAACACAACTATTTCTTATATAAATATACAAATGACAAAACTGTTTAGCTTTAAATATTTACAATTACTTATTTTAAATATCAGCTTACCCATCATCTCCTCCAGACACAAAACTTTGATAATTAGAGACACAGACACAATCTAAAGATGCACTAAGAAAAGAAAACTATTAACATTGTGCATAAAAACATCATTATTCAGTAATAGATAAAATTTGAAATAGCCATATATTCTATATTAATTATGTGATATTAGTAAATGGCGTTTATTTAATTATAACTGATCCTGAATTGTAAAAAATCAGCAAATTTTTTATGTACAGAATTCCAAAAATCCAGACTAACCGAGATCATTTAAATATATATTTAATGTAATGCACATACAGATTTTTTGGGGGGTATGTGTGAGTGTGCATGTGCACATCTAGAGCATTTTATTTTAACAAAGCTTATAAATCAGAAAAAGTAAAAGGAAAAATACTTTTAATTCCTTAATAACAATGTATAAAATACACTTGCCTACACATACAATGGAACTCTGAAATAAAACACAGAAATTATTTTTTCATTCTATAATGTCTAGAATGAATCATGTAAGACTAATCAAATAGAATATTCTTTAATGTGCAACAAACAGGAGCATAGAATTTTGATAAATCAGAAGTAGCACATTTTTTAAATTATAATAGCATATAACAAAAATGAATATGTATGTATTTCGCCACTGACCATGACAGTTGGCAGAAATTCTCCTAAATCTGTGCCAATCATACAGTTTGAAGGAACAAATCACTGTTTAGTCAACAGATGCTAGTTAAGCACATAACAAATTATAGCATACAGTCAACAGATGCTAGTTAAGCACATAACAAATTATAGCATACAGTCAACAGATCCAAGTTATACCATACAGCAGGTTATAGCTACTTTAGTCAAAAGATGTAAGTTACAGCATATAAAAAAGCAGATACAGTTTATAAAAAAACATTAATAATTATGAGCTCAGATTTCTACCAATCATTCAAATGGAAGTTTGGAACAGATCACTTTTTATTTATTTAGATAATGATGATGTAATACTTAAGAAACTAGCTGAGGTTACATAAAACCGAAGCAAAGATCTGTGAATATTTTGACATTATATCATGATGACATTTATCTATCACTGATGCTAAATCATACTGTTACACAACAGATTTTGTTTGCCAAAAATGGTTGATGGAAAAATACAATGTACCCAAAAATGCATGTTGTTCAAGTACATTATGAATGCTTTCAAAAATTAAACTTCTATAAGCTTAAATTTAGAATTTTACATTTAGGAAAAGTAACAATGATTAGTAATAGCACAATTAAGAAAATCACGATTTTAGTTATAAAACATTGATCTTAGTTTCGAACTGAATACGAAAAATAATGATTTTAAGTTCAAAAGGAGGGAAACAAAAGAAATAAAAATTTATTTACCTTCTTACCCTCTTATGCAAATAAATAAATACCTTATTTACCAATAAATTTAATATAAATAGCAGACCTTATTACCAATTAATTTAACTTAAATATGAGAGGCATTTTTTAGAACATGATTTTAACAATAATTTTTATTATTCAAAACATACAGATTAAAAGTTTTTTTTATAATTTAACATAAATATCAGACCTTATTAACCAATAAATTTAACATAAATATCAGACCTTATTACCAATTAATTTAACTTAAATATGAGAGGCATTTTTTAGAACATGATTTTAACAATACTTTTTATTATTCAAAACATACAGATTAAAAGTTTTTTTCTCATTTTTAATGACAACACACATTATCTTTTTAGCTATTAAATTTTATTGTAAGTTAAATTGTTTTAAATATTGCTCCTTGTACTCAGTGGTGGATTTAGCATTTGAGAGGCCCCAAGTGCAATTCAATTGTAAGGGCCTCCTTCAAAATATTTTCAGTATTACTATAGTTTTTATTCTACACATATGTTTTTACTTAGCATGCACTCATGTGTTTACTTAGCATATGTTTTTACTTAGCATGCACTTACTTAGATTATTAATAAAAAATAATAATAATACACATATATATATATATATATATATAACAAGCAAGGTAGTTAGTACAATACTGTATGACCAATTTGGTCTAGATAACATTTTGCGCAATATGCTGCAAAATAAGTAAATTAGAAATAATAGTAAGCTCGCCTAAAAGTTACCAGGAGCTGTAGCTCCAAAAAGTTCAACACATTTTTAAAAAACAATGTCATTGAAGGGTGAGAAATATGCTACACGAGAAAGGAAAAAAACATAGTAAAATACTCAGTGTTGGAAACTAGTAATGGCAAAAAATACAGTAAAATACCTATGGATGTGCCATTTGAAAAATGAAATACCTATGGATGTGCCATTTGAAAAATTAATACGTATGAAAATCAAACCAAGTAACAAGTAAAACACAAAACAAACAAAATCAGATTAAAATAGAAAGCGGAAAATGGTAAATTAGCTGAACTCGACTTCCAAACTGGCTTTTCAAGGGAAATATCTGATTTGAACGTCGAATCAAGCTAACTCCATTACGCGTTTTGCCAAAACAGACAATTGAAACTTTTTCGCTACAAAATTTTTAATTTAGACAAAGTGTCTTGGAAAATTTATCAGTCTCAAATTCTCTGTTCCAATTTCCCGACACGTCCGCACAAAATGACACATTAAGGTGTTAAAATATGTAAAAACAATTCCAATTACATCTAAAATCAAGACAAAAATAAAAATAAAAATAAAAATAAAAATAAATAGCGGTCTGCTATTAGTCCTAAATATACAAAAACATACGGGCTGGGCCTGCAAGCTTAAAGATTCATTCTTTTATAGATTTTAGAAACCTGTAATTAAATTTAAATGAAAATTAAGATGAAAACGAACACAGTAAGAAAACGTGTTGAACTTTTTGGAGCCACAGCTCCTGGTAACTTTTAGGCAAGCTTACTACTATATATACATATATATATATATATATATATATATATATAATTTATGTGAAAATGGGGGTTATAAATAAAAAATACAACATTGCCAGTCTGTTCATTAAATGTTAAAAACAAAACTAGAATATAATATTAGCAATAATGAACTTTTGTTTCTAATGCCATGATTTCACATAATAATAATATATAGATTGGCAATAATATAATATTGATTTCAAATGAATAATAATTATTGTCAATGATGCTTATAGAAAATGTTATTTGGTTCTAATTTGGAATATATGATAACAAAAACAATTATATAGGTACTTTTTTGTTTCAGCTTTAGCAAATTTATGAATTACAGACTCATAACCTAATAACCATACATCATTTTCAATACACATCATTGATAATTGATTTAAATGCAAAACTGGGATAAGGGATTTCTTGAGTAATTTTGATACTTTTTGATCACTCTGCAAAAAGCATTAATGAGGCAACATGCTGTCACCAAAATAGGCAACTCATGATGCTGCTGAAATGTATCAATGTGGCAAACCAAATAAGCACACTTATAAATAACCAAATAAGCACAGCACCCAGATATGCATGCATTTGACAAGTGCTAATTTCCACTGAAGGTCCTGTTTCCCCTTCTAATTTGACACTCATTAATGTTTGTTTTTGTTGCACTGAGGTCATTTTTCCCCCTTTGCAAGGAATCATAATGGGACAGTGAAATTTTCTGGTTAATGAAAAAGAAAGCATTGTTGTTCTTTAGAAAATACAGCATTTTGCCAGACAGTAATAAAAAAAATTCACATTTCATGGAGTTGCACTTTTGTCATGAAGTTGCATTTTGTTGATCCACATCTGTATGCAATGTCAAATTTGTGCAATTCTCTGATGTTTTTTAAGTGAGAACAGATTGCTGTGTACATGTAATTCTCAGTGCCCTGCCATTTTTGAAAATGGCTGTCTTTCATGTCTTAATTTTTAACTGTCTTGAAAACCAAAAATGATAGTTCGTGATTTGTATTATAAACAGAAATTGTTAAATATATTTAAAAACCGTATCTATATTCAGAAATGCAAATTGCAAATCTGCAGTTGATAATTTGTACATGTCAACAGGATTGAATATATTTTCTTCTTTTATGAATGCAATAAAATGAACAATTTCATTTTAAAAATATTCAATTCTATATTTTGGCATTTCGTACATATGTTTTCCACACCTTTATTAAATTAGATGTTGGGCATCTGAAAATTGAAAAATAGGCCAGTATGTTTTCATATGTCATTAGAAATGGCATTTCTCTAAGATAATTCAGAAATTAAAAATAACATTATGTATATTTATCATAAAATTTTGCTTTTCAGTAAAATGTGTTTCATTTACAGCTATTTCTCCAAACTGCAATTTTCTTCTAATTCTGGTTTTTCTAGTTCTATTGGTGATGTTCTCAATATCATCAAAATTGTTCCTGAGATTTATGATAAAATTTACAAGTGATTTCAGAAGATTTATTCCTAACAATAAATTATAGGTGTGTGCTTTGATGTACCTGTTCATAAATCTGCTACTGCTTGGACTATTGTGGCACTATATTACACTTTTAAACTATTTAATTCTGTCCCTCATTTTCAGTACGCCATTAAAAAAAGTTTATAAGTGAATAACAAATTCACTAAAATGTTCTTTTTAGAGATACTTTGTGCTGAGTCAGCAGTACTTTAACTATTTGTTACAATAATGCCACAATTACTGCAGCAATCACAACACTTAAAAGTAATCAGAGTAGATGATTTCTTAGGTATTTTTAATGGGATTATCATTAAAAAGGAGGATAGCAACACTGGATAATTTAGAATTTCAATATAAGAAGATGGATTATAAAATTAAAAAAGATGGCTACAATTAACTAAAAAATTAATGATCACAGTCAATAAATATACATGCCTACACATACACTGACAGAAGTTTTAAACTCTTAAAATTAATTAAAATTATAATATATTTTTCTTACCCCTGAGCTTGGAAAACCAATTGAGATTCTTCAACAATTTTAAATATTCGTACTGTAGAATCTCTACCACCAGAAGTTAAAGCAATTTCTCCTACAAAACAGTCAATACCTGTAATAGCATCTTGATGACCAAATCTGAAAACAATCATGTTTCTTTAATACTCTTTCTAAAATTAAATATATTTATATTAAAATATATTTATACCCCTTCATTTTAAAAATAAATATTTCACAAAGTAACTGGAAAAATTCTTACAAAGTCTCAACATAACCCATTTCATCCAGATTCCACAGCTTTAGTGTTCTGTCACCTGAAGCACTAATGAGTTGATGTGTTCCTTTAAAAAATACAAGCCCCTTAAATAAAAAAAAAAAGTCTTTTATAGAAACGATAAAACAGTTTCATTTGTTAAAAATCACATACATCTTGCTTTAAAGATGCAGTACATAGCCAATGCAACTAAAAATTAAGATTTTAAAAAAATTTTAAAAGAAAGAAAAAAAGAGAGAGATGCATACTTACATACATATACAAATTTCCAGCACAAAATTTTAAAACACAGGACAATATCATTTTTATTTCTTATTGGCATATTTTTTTTTTCAATAAAATGAGAAATTTGATACAAAGATTTCATTTAATGCTCATCTTGCAATAAATTTAAATCAACAGCCAAGTTCCTTTAATATGATGGAATTGTATTTAGCGTTTTTATACTGAAGAGAAATATTAAGCTAATAATAGTAAAATTAAACTCATTAATTAAAAATATAAATCACAATAATTTTTAAAATTTTTCTTTTATATGCTGATGAATCTTTTTTAACAGAAAGATTTAATGTCTTATCCCATACCAGGAATCTCAGAAAGTGATAAAAATGGCAATAACTTGCTGTCAAATATCAGCCATCCTGTTAACCTCACATCCTTAACTTTTAATATATTCTTCAGGATATATTCAATCTTTCCATGCATTTCAATTTGCCATTTTCTTCATAGATTTTTGTGATTATCTAAACCATGAAAGCTATACATTTTATCTCTACACAGTGTATTGCAGTGGTAATTGTGACCTCATTTCAAAAAGCCTAAAAAATTGTGTACAGTGGAAACCCAATACAATTTCAAATCATTTAGAATATTGATATGAAATACGTATGTGCACATGTACATATTTCCAAACTAATCCACTTATAAATAAAATGCATGTATTTACTTTTTAATTCATTAAAACTATTTTATGTTTCACGACATCAATTTCTCAATATATATGCATAATTTTTTAACTAATTGCAAAGTTAAGCTTGCTTTTCCTGGAGGGAGGGATTACTTTCTGAAAATTGCAGTGTTTACCTTTTTTTTTTCCCCTAACAACTGAAAATTCAGTATTCTGAAGTGGACCATGGCTATATGGAGTGCTAATCTTGCAAAAAATTTAGGGCAAGCAAAAAATCACTAAATATTGCACACTTTTTTCCCTTTAGTTTATGAAAAAATTAAATTTAGATTAAATGAGTTATTTGTTTTCTGAAAATGAGCGTTTTTTCCCCTCAAAATTCTTTACCGTGCTATTTTGTTGTGTTGTCACCAAAATGAACGATTTGATGGCATTTGCCAGCTTTCTCAACTCTTGAACTTGTTTTTCATTATGGGAGAAATGCCAAGTAGCCATATTATTGTTAGAATTTTCAGCAAATGTGATCACCTGTAGTTTGAAATTTGTTGTAAAGAATTTCTCATTAAATTCATCTTTCAGACAAAAAATAAAATGGTACAAAAAACAAGACTAGCACAGATTAAACAAATCATACACAAGACAAAAAATGAATGTAAAACAAATGTGCTAGCTACAAACAGAGTTACCAGAGTTGAAAGTATTGTCATTGGTGTCTAGTGTTTAGCTTTATGGGATCATAAAATCCAACGATTTGTAAGGCTAAAAGAAATTTTTTCTGAAAAATGAGCTTTTCCTTCTCCTACCACTGAAGGGTTCCTAGTCGAGACATATATCACTGGAGCTTATGTCGCACACAGCCATGTGGGATATTTTACATTTGAGATGAAAATTTTTAACTTAAACACGTGTTCCTCATAGCTTTTCCCCACAGAATTGGTTTTTATGCAAGTCAGCCAAGAAGCTGAAAACCAAATTTCCAAATAATGCTTCATCTGATGTGCTGTTCAGGAAAACTTGTAGATGTGATAGCAACATTATTGGATAATATTCCATCTATTTTACCTGCTTGGCAACATTTTTGCCCTTATGGCATTACAGGATAATGAACACATGTGAATGTTAAAGGAATATATATATATATATATATATATATATTTCCCATTTCGGTTTATTTATGGGTTTTAAATCTGGAGTAAATTTTTGAAGAAAAAAACATACTCTTCGCTTATACATGGATCAACTTATACTGAAAATGTACAGTACCTAGCTAGCTTTTCCTGGAGTGAGGTTACTTTCTGGAAACTACGTGTTTATATTTTTTTCCTAACAATTGAAAATTCAGTATAATTTGCAGAGATATTTTGAAATAGACAATGGTCTTATGAGAAACTGCTAGAAAGGAGACAATAGTTCATTGGATATAAAGAATTTTAATAAGTTGTCTAGTTATGCAATAAATTCTTCATAAAATCTTTACCAATATTTATCAGAAAAATTTTTTGAACCAAAAATTTACATGCAGTTTTGTATACTCAGAGCAAATAACATTTCAGTCTGTGCAATGTATGTATTATTGTTCAAGGATGTTCTTCATTCTAATATAATATTAACCTTATAATTAGATAAACTTAAACGACAGTTAAATGTAAGCAAGTTAAGAGAGATTCAATCAGTTTTGTCAATATTGGGTATTTTTATTTTCAGCTTCTTTCAGTCTGAACACTTCAGTTCAAAATTTTATAATATGAGTTTTTCTTTTGTCGTATAACAAAAACAGCAAAATAACGATTTTGTAAAAGATAAGCTTAGTTTGTCCTAGCAAGAAGTTTGACCTCTCACTGAACTAAGTCTAAAAGGTTTTGAATCTGAATAATATATTGTTCTGAAACAAAATTTAAAAAAGATTTTTATTTTACAAATTTACTCAATACAAAGTCTACATCTCTGAAATCTGGAAAAACTGCATTTTAGAAAGTAAACAACAAGGAATTCCAGCTATATCCAGACCACAAACACCCTAATTTTCTTCTAATAACAGCTCTGCAACTAAATTCAAGTTACAGTTAAGTAATATCTATCAGAAATAAGAATAATGATTTACAGGATGTCAATCAGACTACTATTACAGTCATCTTTACAGCAGTTAAAAAAAAAAAAAAAAAAAAAAAAAAAAAAGACTTGTACCCAGACCTCAGTCAAAGTTTTTCAGCTCTTATTGAAGCTTCTAATCCGGGATAAGACACTTTTTTAACACATATATTTTCACAACTGACGCCAAAAAAGAAGAAAAATGCCTTTCCATAAACATTACTTAAATTTTAAGATTATATTCTTCAACTTATATTATAAATATCTTCTGAACCTACAGCCTACAATTTGATGTTAATGTATCAAACAATTAGCAAATAAATGGCTAACAATTTGATACAATCATTTTCAAAGTACTTAACACATATATAATCAGTAGTATAAAAAAAAGTACTATTCTTTTAAATAAATAAAGTAGAATGATTTGCTAAATGGACTTTGATGACTTTCAGTGTAACCCTCAAACCAAAACTAACAAAACACAAATAAAAGTAAGAGTAGTATATATCTAAGAAGAAATAATACACTGTAATTTCAGGTAGACAAACCATGGCTTATACATGTTTAAAAGTTGAAAATTTAGGTCTGCAGCATATCTGAAGGAATTTTATTTTTCCTCTGCCCTTAAAACTTCACTAGTTCAGATTGCAAGTTATGTACAAGCAAAATAGTTAATGTAGAATTCGCCGCAACATTTTAACGTGATAAATGTGCTCAAATTCAACTAAGGCACTTCAATAAGTTTAAACCTGCCTAAGTATGGTAGCCAGAGCTCTGTGTAAAGACAATATACTGTAAAGCATGTACTTTCTGCTGAACTCTGTGGTTTTGCCTGCATTTTCCATTGACTATTTTTTAATGGCAACAGCAACAATTACTTGCCATGTGCTGTGTTCACTCTTACATGTTTTTACTGCTTTGTACTTGCTTATTGCTTATGGTTTGTGCTTTAAAATTATTATTATTATAGCTCTAAGAAAATGTTAAACAGCTGCTTTTAAGCTTTGAGCAGCAAAGAAAGCAATAGAAATTGCAAATCGTGCTGCGGCTAAAGAATTTCAAGTTGACAAGCGATGCATTCAGCAAAAGTCTGAACAAGAAGAATTAGAGAAAATGCCTAAGAATAAAATATCTCATCGAACTGTATCATAGAATGGCATGTTTTGGAAGACAATTTAGAGAAATGGTCAATAGAGCAAACAGAAAGTGGATTATCGGTGTCAAAAGTTAGAATTCCCATTCAAACAAACGTAATTGCTCAACAAATGGACATAAAAATTTTGTTGTAGGACCTAGTTGGTGTTTCAGGTTCATTAAGTGAAAGAAATTATCTGTCAGAACCAAAATGTTCATTCAATAGGTGAAAAAAACTATTTCAGTGTTAACAACTGGGAATAAAAAAAACTTCTTTTATTTGTGCCTTTGGGTTGTGCCACCAGTAGAGAGAAGTTAATCCCTTCGATAATTTTCAAAAGAAAAACAGTTCTGAAAGCAAACTTTTACTAAAGAAGTTATTATTTGCCCCAACAAATATAGATAGATGTGCAAAGAAGAGATGTTGTTTTGTCTGAAAGAAATTTATTGAAAAGAGAAAGGTGCTTTTTTCTAACCCTAACGACTTATCGTTCTGGATTCAATGTGATCCCATTTAGCAGATAAGGTAAAATCTAAAGCAAAAAAAAAACTTAACAATGATGTCTCAGTGATAACTGGTGGGCTTAAAAAAATTTTACTGCAGCTAGATCTTACCATCAATAGCATTTTCGAGCATGAATTAGGAAAGCAGTGGGAGGAATGGATGCAAGGCAGACTCCATTCCTTCACAAATTCTGGACAAATGAGAAAAGCTTCATATGATGAGGCTGCCTTGTTATTATTTATTTATATATTACTGATTATATTTATGTTTTAAACGTTATTGATGATGATTACAACAATATAGTGGGGAATTACTGAACAAATGAATATTAAGTGCTATGCTTTGGGATGTTTCGCTGCAGCATACTACTTATCTGACTGCTATCATTACTGCTTATCTGATGCTGCTTATCATTACTGCTTATCTGATGAACTTTCATTTTTTTAATAGTCAATTATCATGTATGCAACATATATATGCTGGGGCAGCTTATCTACCTAAAATTTTGGTAATCCACTTGATGGAATTTCCATATTTACCTGCAGGTGGATGGACAGAAGAACAGGTACGTTTTTTTGTGTGTTAGCCTGTCACCAATGTGTTAAGATGATTGAATAGAAAAACTTAAATAACCAGAAATTATTTGGATTCTTGGAAGGCTTAACAATCCAATGAATTTCAGACTGCAGGATTTAAACATTTTTAAGTTTACACCAATATAATATTGCAGATCACTGTTATTGGTCCACAAACTTAAAACATGGAAAGACTTAGAAGTTCAACAAAATGCTGCAAATAGGAAAAAAAAAAAAAAAAAAATCAGCCACCACACAGAGTATCACCACTTGCATTTGTATTAACTGAATTTCTATAGTGTTGAGTTCACACAAAAGATGACTATTTTGTTGCTATTTTAAATTCCATTAGGATTTTTACCTGCTGGAATCACTCAGATATTAATGGTTTTATTCATTATATAAACTCAAAAATTGAGCTGATTTTTATTTCAGTTTTTTAGATGCTATGTCTATAATTTGTATTTGTTGGTTACATAACTAAATAAAGCATGCTATGTGATTACTAACTCAACAAAAAGGCCATCAATTTCTGCAGAATTCAGCTAAAATTACCAGTACATGTTCTGGGATCTCTGCAAATTTTTACAGTTGATTAGAATATATATAAGTACCAAAAATTTAGACAAGAAATTTGAACTTCCATTTCAGAACTGAAAAGCGAACTAAATTTCTTGCAGAAAACTATTTGCCAAAGACTGCTCATCGCAAATGGAAGAAAATAAGATAAATATATAAGATAAATTCAGTCAAGAAGCTATAAGAGAGATATTACTAATTTGAAAGGTAACTATAACAAAAATATAACAGTTAAATACATAAATGTAATTAATTACTTTTATATAAATAAAGGTATTGTTCTATTATCAGAACTGGATAAAGAAATGTATATCTGTATGGATGTATGTGCTCATGTATGCATGTATATATGTAAAAATGAATGTATGTGTGTTTATACATATAAATATATATGCCCATACATACATACATGCATACATTTCTGAATCCGGTCCCCCGAAAGCAGAACAATACCTAAATAAATTATAATCATTACTGCATAAACTTAATACACAGATCTCATGAATGCTACAATTCACTTAAAAATTAAGTCATTTTTTTTTTTTCCAAATTTATTTGAAGTATTGCAGTGGGAAAAGTATGAAAGTGGCATTTTAATGGATTTTTATTTGCAAAATAAACACAAGTTTTTATCACACAGTCTTTTTAGATTAAATCTTTCCATTAGCAACATCTTTATACAAAATCGGAAATATCTATTGAAAGAGTATTTTTAAATTTGTGCTTAGTAATTTAAAAATAAATAACTCTTTGTGATTATTATTATTATATGTTAAAATAAATAAGTATATTTCATTCTCTTAATATTAAAAATTTAAAATATACATTATATGCATTTTAATTATTAGTGAATAAAATAAAGAAAATATATTGTTCTATTTAAATTATTAAAAAAAAAGGTACTTAAACATTATCTCATCGACCATTGGCGAAAATTTTTCTAATGATCACCAATCATTACCGTGGAATTTTATTGGGTATATGGTCACCAGTAATTGGTGCTTAATCTCACTACTTGGCTGGTCAAAGGGGTAAGTACCTAAAAAAGTAAGTACCTAAAAAGTAAAACAGATACATCATCAGTATTCTGATTTAAAAGAGCACTTACTGTAATTGCACCTTTATGGCTATGGAATGATTTCAATAATTCCATTGTATCTGGATTCCAAACATGCATTATTTTATTTTGACAGCCAGAGACCTGAAAATATTTTTAACAGAGATATAATAAACTTACAAAACACAATAAAATTGCTACCAACTCTCAAATTACATATAATTGTTTCTTTTTTACTTTTTTCTTAATTAGACTAATAAAAATTAAGCAAATATGCCAGATTAATTTAATCAATAATTGAAGTTGCTTTAAAACTTTTAACTTTAACTAATCACATACAAAATAAAAGGAGCAATAAAGCTAAGCTCACTATAAATAGCTTAAATAAATATGAATAGCAATATTTCAAATTTAAAATTATTTTATTGATTAAATATATCACAAATGTATAATTTCTGCCACAACTATGAGTTCTCATTTTCATGAAATATTTTCTACCTACCAAGATCTTTTCAATTTCTTTTATATTCTTCATGGTCATAATAGACAAGCCAAGACTTTTAACTAGAGCTTTCTCTAGTTAAAAAGTTTATATACAAAGAAAATAAAGAAATTCCTTATTGTTGTCATTATAATTATTATAATTTTGTAAAGTTTTGAGTTTGTTAGGTACAAATGAAAAAGATCCCTGCCTCTCAGCTTGAAGCCAGTACATCTTACAGTTTAACTTAATATTTTAGACTTTTGTAAAGTGATCATTATGAGAAAAAGCATGATATGTAATAATTATTTTTAAAACAATACAGAGAAAATAAACTACAATCAAATTGAAATTTAAATAAAAAATATAATGTTATGTCTAAGAGATCAAATTTTTGTTCCATTTCATAGATCACAATAACTATAAATACACAATAGAAAGGAAATAAAATAACTAAACCTTTCATTATTATTTATAATAATAATATATATATATATATATTTCAAATCTATTCAACATTTTATCTATAAACTTTTAACAGGGTAAGTCTTGGAAGCACCTACACTCTTACATTATCTGTTCAGAAAGAAGAAGCTTGCGCATAAACAACATAGGCAACTAACTAACTGTCTAGAGTACCAATTTCCAGCGGTCACCAGTTAAGATATTCTCAAAACCAACAAACTGATGAAGGTACACTTTCCTTTCAATTATGAATATGCATACCTGCCAACCTCTAAAGATAAAAATTCAGAAGAACACGAAGAATTAATATCATGCTTTGATATTAAAAAATTAAAAATTTATACAAATAGAAAAAAAAAATTGCACTTACATTCAATCTCAATTAAGTAGTAACTAAAAATGTATTAGCAAACATAAAACAACAACTAATGGTACACAAAAAATTATTGCAATGAATTTAGAGGGCATTTTTAGCTTTAGCCAAAAATTCTTTGGAAAATTTCCTGTCATAACAATTAGTTTCTCATAACATTTAGCAATTAAAATGTTTTCTAGAGGTTTTGGTGAAATTGAAGAACGAAACATAGTTTTGTTTTCTTCACACACTGAAGACTCTCTCGCATCAGCATTACTGTGTGGAATTACGAGAATAGCACATAAAACTCTGCTAGTCTATCATACTTTAGTGTTCCATCAGCTCTTTTTATTCTTTTTAAGGTAAACGAGGACATCAAGTTAACTTCTCCAGAACTGGCAAAGTCTTCAAACTGTGCAGCAGAAAATTGGTTCTGTAGTTCATCTAAAGCATCATTATGGCATTCATTTTCTTTAATTGTTAACAAAAATGGAAATTTATCAATAAAAAAACGAATCTTTTCAAAAGATGAATTTTCAATTTGTTTCAAATTTGCCACTTCAGCATTTAAAAGAACTTCATTTTGCAAAGGAAACTTCCTTACAATGTAATCACAGGCTGAGGAAAAGTACTTTCTAACACATTGAAAAATTCTTTTTCTCATGATCTTTCAAAGAATTTACAAGCTCCCTGGTTTGATTTCCAATTATAAGATCATTGTCATCCGTTTGATTTGCCAAACTATTATAGGCAATATAAAATCAACACACTGTTATTTCACAACGGACGGCTTTACAAACTTAGTTAAAAGTTCCTTTCAAAAGATCATTAAGAATTTGGATACACAGGGCAGATTTTGGCGAAGCTGATTGTAGAAGGGTATTTAACACTTTCAAAAATCTTAATGGTACTTAACACAAATCTGCAATATGCTTTGTTCAAATCCGAAGAAAGAACATAGAAAATCCTTTCCTCCCGGCTAATAGAAGACTGTTTCTTCTTCCCTTCAACTTCTTTAACAAAGTTGACCTTTGAGGAAACAAGTTCAGTGCATTGGATTGGCTGGTTAAGCAGCGAGTTGGGAGAAACCGCAGGTTACTGGATTCGAAGTAGTCGGTAGTTGGCGGTAAAACACGATGCAATTGGCAAAAATTGCTGAATCGGCGAAAAATTCTAAAATTTCGACAAAAATCACTAAAAACACTTGAAAAAGGGGAAAAAATCATAAAAAATGGATTACAATCGTAAAATCGTAAAGACAAACGCATTTTCGTAAATTACGAAATTATAAAAGTTGCAGGTTGAATATGTTATTTATAAATGTATAAATACTGATTGCCATCGTAAATATTGGAAAAGGCTTGAAACTCATTTTCTAGCGGCATAATAAAAGCACTGATACTCTTTAAATTTCTTTCGGAAAATACGTGGTGACTTAATAGTGGCAACACAGCTGAAAAAACGCTACGCAACAAAACCAAAGAATATCGCGTATACCACACGTAAACTACATACCTACCTTACCTCTCAGCAAAAAGACTCGTCCTGGCTACGTCACGCGCATGCGGAGTGACGCAAAGAACGGATACGTGTATTAGCTCGTGGTCTAAAGTAAGTGTTGTCAGGATGTTTTCAAAACAAGAACAACGATGTTGGATAAAAATTGAATGTGCCAGAGGTTGTACAGCACGACAGTGTCATCAAGGGCTTCAAGGATACTAAAGTACTTAAAATGTATTGTGCCATCTATCTTAAGTTGGAAATCTCTTGGGTGTATATAAATATTGAAAAAATTCATCTTTAACATGGACACATTTTGATAAATTATTAGGTTTGCTTTTTGGCAAGTTATTTAACAATGGAAAATATTGAGCATCAGTATTTTTAAGTTGGCACTCAAATAACAGTAATTCTTATTAAAATCTTTGATAAAATTACAAGCATTGATTATTAAATGATCTTGTGTTTGCAATTCCTTATTTAGCTGATTAAGTTTTTCTGTTATATTCACTAAAAAACACAGATCTAGCAACCAATTATAATCACTTAATTCAAAAACAGAGTCTTGTTTCCTGTTCATAAACATATCTTAGCCATCTAACATTGGTAAAATATATGACATCACCATAATCAGAAAATAATTTGCTAAAGAATTCTTTGAATAGCTGATGCTGAAGAGATTGTGAATAAACATAATTTACTATTTTTATAACTACTTTCATAGCATGATTCATGTATAATACCTGAGCACATATTTTTTTTTTATGTGAACAGTGAATAATAAAAATATAATTGGCTTTAATGCCTCTGCATTCTAGCTTATAAATAATTTTACAGCTCCATTAATTTTACCTACAAAAGCAGGTACTCTATCTGTTGTTAATCCAAAATTTAAGCTATTTTTGGCAAAACATTTTTCAATAACATGGAAAAGCTCTTCTCTTCTAGTTGTGTCTTTTAAATTTAGAAGATTTAGCATTTCTTCTGTCTCTTGGAATGAATCATTCACACTGAGAATAAATATCATAAGATGAAATGTGTCCGAGATGTCTGTACTTTCATCAAATGCCTAAGAATATGCTTTGAGCTAGCTAATTTTATCTCACAAAGTTACTATGATTTCAGGCTTAATGCCATCAATGTAACAACATAACATACAGTTTGGGATGAAAGACTGGTACTTGAAAATAATTTGCTTTTATCAGGCGAAGCATCTTTTATAACTGCTTCCAAACCGTCCAGTTCACCAACAAAAAATGATTTCTTTTTTTTAATCAATATGGCAACAGAATAACTTGCTTTGACAATGTTAGATGGCTGCTGTAATAATGAATCAAACATTGTTTACTAAGCTTTCAGATGCAATTAAATTACAGTTAACTTAAAACTTTTTACTTCTTTACCGAAATTTACATACTCAGTATGTTTTGTTCCATGATGCCTTTTAACACTTATGTTCTTTAAATACAGTGACTGTTTGTCTACAATTAATCTCATTAATTTTAAATTCTGCATTGTAAAAAATAATCTTTTTTCCCAAAACTTTCTGTCTTCATTGACAACTTTTCTTTTCGTAGAAGTCATCTTTTCGGTTGTCATTCAGTATTGGTTCAAACACCGGTAATATTTAATAATTTCTTTAAACTTAATGTAAATAGTGTTCATTTGACTCTTGAAAATTGATAATAGCTTTTATCAATTTAAGATTTTATTAAAATCTGATTTTTAAATTTACTTGCATTAGTAAAAACAAAATCACTTCAATAAATTTCAAACTTTTTTTGGATGTCTTCAGATATCACTTTTATTCAACTATCAGCACCACACACAAAAAGCTTGACAAATGTAACCTGCAATGGCAGCTCAACAACAACATACATGTGCAAAAAGATAATAAGATTGAATGTAATTAAGACACAATAACACGCCGAATAAATACTGATTCAAAAGTCAAACAACAAAAATCAGCGTTAATTCACAAAATTTTCACAGGACTAGTTTCGATGGTTTTACCGAACCATCATCTTCAGCTGCAAAACCGCAAATGAACAAGATAGGAAATAATGTTTAGATAAGATAAGAAACCCTGGACAAGAATAAGCAAGTGGCGCCATCTGTTGGCGAAACCAGAACTAAAACATAATTTCTCTAAAAGCCGAAGGCAAATTTGGATTGGAATTAGGATTGTTAACTAGAACAGAAAGATTTTTATGAATGTGAAATGCCTCTAGAAAATCCAGTTCTCCAATGGAAGATGTTTTTATAAAAGTGGTATTCATAAAAGTGGTATTCCTTTCCGCCCTATTGTATCAAATTTAGGTACTGCCTCGTATCCATTAGCTAAATATTTAGTTTCTAGATTTTCCACTCTATTAGACAATAACATTTACACCATAAAAAATTCAATAGAGTTTGTAAAAAAGGTTAAAAACATTTCTCCTCGTAATTTACTCATGGTTTCTTTTGATGTAAAATCATTATTCACCAATGTCCCAGTGGAGGTTGCATTAAGATGTCTAGAAACCAGACTTCGCGAATTTCATTTCTCTTGCATCGAAATTGATGAGCTAATTTCTCTCACTCAACTCTGTTTGAAACAAACACATTTTGTTTTCCAAAATAAATATTACAAGCAAACTGAGGGATTAGCCATGGGAAGCCCCCTCAGTCCCATCCTGGCTGATATCTACATGCATTATTATGAATCAAAATTGTTTGAAACTTTAAACTTCCCGGCATGGTTCCGCTACGTAGACGATACTTTTACCCTGTTTGAAGGTAATAAAGATGATTTAAATAGAGTTCTTTCAACAATGAATTCTATTGATCCTGCTATTCAGTTCACTTTTGAACTTGAGACTTGCAATTCTCTTCCATTTCTCGACATTCTGGTCACACGTAACACATCCAACTTCAGTACTACAGTTTACCGTAAACCTTCATCGGTTTGCCTTCCACCACACTTTAAAATCATGTCATCCGACTAAACAAAAGTTAGCTTCATTTTATTCCTATGTTTTCCGTGCTCTTCAGTTTGCTCTTCCAAACTAGCCCTTGATGAAGAACTAAATTATTTTAAAAGCAATAGCTATTGACAGGGGCTTTTCACTCAACATTATTAATCAAGCAGTTAAAAAATTCTCATCTCAACACACTAAAAGCCACACTCTTATTTTAGGAGATTATAAAAATTCTGTTGTCATTCCCTTCTTTCATCAATTAGCTATAAAGTTGCACATATTTTGCAGAAATTTAACTTTCGGGTTCTTTACTCTCCCATCAATAAAATTCCAACTTCTATACTCAAGGACCCCATTCCGGATATGAATTCCTGGGGTATTTATAGGATTCCTTGCCAGTGCGGTTTAATTTACATTGGCCAAACTAAGAGAGCTTTAAAAATTTCGCGTCAAAGAACATGAGGCATATGTTAGAAAAGGAAACACAGAAGTCTTCTGTTGCTCAACATTGTTGGTCCGAAAATCACACTTTCAATTTTTCTGCTGCCAAAATTATTCAAAAACATCTTCCATTGGAGAACTGGATTTTCTAGAGGCATTTCACATTCATAAAAATCTTTCTGTTCTAGTTAACGATCCTAATTCCAATCCAAATTTGCCTTCGGCTTTTAGAGAAATTATGTTTTAGTTCTGGTTTCGCCAACAGATGGCACCACTTGCTTATTCTTGTCCAGGGTTTCTTATCTTATCTAAACATTATTTCCTATCTTGTTCATTTGCGGTTTTGCAGCTGAAGATGATGGTTCGGTAAAACCATCGAAACTAGTCCTGTGAAAATTTTGTGAATTAACGCTGATTTTTGTTGTTTGACTTCTGAATCAAGATTGAATGTGCTTCGAGACCAGTTCAATAGCTATTTTGTGCAGGCACAAAAAGGTATTGTGATTGTGCATTTACCTATTTCGAGTATAGTTTTACTTCTTCACTCTGACGAAGCCACTCCTGATTTGCTGAAGCTTTCATTCTTAACATACAAGTCTTTGACGGAAATTCACTTAAAATAATAACTTTGTTCATTCAATGAATAATGAAATGATAATGGACCCAAGCATGGGTAGACTAGTATCTCAAGTCAGCCTTGACTTTTGGCTTCCATACAAAACCAAAATTTCCTGTTGGCAAAAATTGCACTCACTGGTACAATTTATAATGCATTTTTTTAATGTGGTTTTTCTATTGTTTGTTTTTTCTACTGTAAGTTTATTTTTTATCATTATTTCAAATTTTCATTTATTTGATACTTATTCTATATATGCAATGAAAAACAAAAGTTTCAACAGAAATATAAGATTGCCTGGAAGGGCCAGAAAAATTACATATTTCTCACAAGATGAGCTTATTATATTACATTAAATTATAAAACTTTAATTCAGTTATATTGCGAAATATTTACTTTGTTCTTCACAAAATAGTAGGAATAAAAATAACAAAGTGTACTTCAAAATTAAATTGGATTGCATTATTTTAATCAAGGCTATGTATATAAAAACCATCTCATGTTCAGTCGAGAATGGCTCATAAGATGGAATGCAAAGATCTTGTATGCCTCTTCTCTGCCACAATTTCTTGAAAAAACTTGTATATCAACAAGTTTCATATACTCCCATTCAAAACACATAAAAGTTACAAATAACCATACACTGTCTAATATTCTTAGTCCATCATCGTAAATTGAGCATCTAGCAATCAACATACCTATTAAGATGCTTTAAATGAAAAAAAAAAAAAAGTATATTCAGTGATTGGCCAAAGTCTGTGTAATATGAATTGACACTATTAAATGTTATTGTAAATTTGTCATATACCATTCTCTCAAATTTAAAAAAAGAAAAAGTTAAAATTTAACAACTATCACTTTAAAATATGATTACTAGTTATTTTAATAGGAAAAAATAAATTTACTGTGCATTTATGATCAGTAATGAACTGCTATAAATAAGTATACACATACACATAAAAAAAAAATATCCACAGGCACCTTAAAAAGTGCATTGAATTTATCTACTCAGCCTAATTTTACATGTTTCTGTAAAGAAACATGTAAAATTAAAACTCGGAATAAAATGTAAATATTTATTCAACATGAATTAAAACTGCTAATGTGCACTTAAAAATTAGCAGTAATAAAGATTTGGAAAAAAATGAGATTTGGTTCTAAAAAATGCAAAAATATGATAATGCCTTTAAAACCTACCAAGAACTTATCATCTGAAGAAAGTGCCATTGCAAGTATGTGTGCAGTGTGACCCCGATGTGTAGCTTCAGTGCCTTTCTTGCCACCGGGAATAGTCTTTAATCTTTTTTTTTCTTCTATACTCCCTAAAGAGATATTAAAATGCTTTTAATTATTAAAGCACCCACAAAATGTTATACTCTGATGATTTTGCAAAGGGTTTAACAACTTAAATTTACAGAAGATGATTACCAATATCATTCACAGAAAATTACTCACATTTAATTATTGAGCAGTCCTTGGAGGCACTAAAGAAAAATTTTTCAGATGTAGATACAGCTAAACATGTAATGCTTAATTTGTGTCCTTTAAAAATATGGAAAACTTCAGTAGTTGCATTTTCATACTAGAAACAAAATAAGAAATATTTCACAGTTAATTTATTTGAGGAAACAGAGGAGATGGAAGCTTAATAGAAGATTGTATTAAAAAGAAAAATTCGAACATTCAGAATTTTACTGTAAAATGTAAGTAAACTGCAATTTTTAACATTATTAATTTTATGCCTCAATAATTATAAATTTTATCTTTATTATGATTGCAGAACAGGGGAAAAACACAAGAGTCAATTTCCCCAATCAATAGCTCCATAAAACCTAAAGTAAAATTAATTTATTGCAATTATAAAAAGTTACTTTATACATTCGCGTATACCTATAACTGACTAATCTGAGTGCCATTGATAATAATATAATGCTTACTTCATGAGCTCTCTTTTTTTCAAGCCTTCCTTCTTCTTCAAGCTAAAAGAAATAATAATGAATTTCCATCATAAAACTAACAAACGTTCACGTTTAAAAAAGATCAAAACTAATTTCATAAAACTTGACAATGAATGTTACATATAATAATAAGTAAAATCTATTATATTTTATGTTCCATACTTAAAAAGTTAAAAAAGCTATAATTTTATAAAAAAATTTCATCTGATTACTACACAATATGATCCATATCATATTTCATGTACTATATGCAACAGAAACACAAAACAAACTTAAAAACTAATCGAATAACATTAGTTACTTAACCCTGCTTATATTTTACACAATTTGGAAATAATCATTTTTACTACAGAGAAAAACACAATTTCATATATACTCCTTTTTTTTCGGTGAAGTACGAAGAAGAAGAATTTTAAAACACCAAAAAAGAAAACTTGAGCTTACAGCTTCATCTTTCAGTCTCTGAGCTATTGCATCCTTTGTATCATCTAAATGTTTCTCCCGTTCTTAAAAATAAATAAATAAATAAATAAAATAATTAATTATCCATGAAAATACAACTCATTACATACATAAAATAAATAGTATATCTAATGAACTGCATATACATTGAAAGCAAAACTTACATTTAACTTTCATTCTGTAAATTATACCTTCATTGGAAATAAAATTTAATTCAGGATTATAAATGAATTTAAGTATTTGAAATTTTGAAGTCATATGACATAAGAGAGAAACATATTAAAAAACACACTAAAAGAGGATCCTCCCTTTGAAGGAACAGAAGGTTTTGTATAAAAAAATTAATAAAACTACTCAGCTGAATGAAATAACAAAATTTTTGAAGAAAACATACTTTTATTGTTTAATTATAATACATAGAATATGAGTAAATAGTTTACAAATAGCTAAAGAAATAAAAAAATACATGAAATACTTATGCGACAACCAGTTTTATTTTTCCACACAACTCTCACTTAAATTGGCATTCTTATCTTATCAATGCATTAAGGCTCTTAATATCTGCTATATCCAAATGATTGCAAATGCAATCACATATAGATGCCTTGCTCAATAGCAGCATCATATGCAAAATAATTATGCCAAAGTCTTTGAAAAAGCATGCTAGAGAGCTTTGTAGAGACCAAATGCTGTGTTTACTCATGTAATAGTTGCACTTCGTTTTGAAGCAGAAAAAATCGTCAAAATATTTTTCCTGCATTAAAGTTGCAATTAGTACATAGTTGACCTTCATCTAGAAAATAGAAAATTATCAGCTGTACTTTTCCCAGAACTAGTACTCATAAGGGATTTATCTGTTCTTTCATTCCCATTGACATTCTTAAGGTCACTCCACAGCAAGATAAGGAATTGCCTGCTTTCCCTGGGAGGAAAGGAGAGCTCCCGGAGCAGGATTTCTTATCCTCCCTCATTTTAAAGCTTTCAATTTCTTTGTTAAAGGAAGTATGCACATACTCTAAATTCACTTGGCTGCATGTATCTAAAGTTATAGAAAAAAAATCTTTAACAATACTTTGTTTTACGGTGAATTTTATGGTGGTGTGTTTTGGACTTTTTTTTTTTTTTTTTTTTTTTTTTTTTGCTTGAATATGGGAAAGTTTAGAAAAAATAATAGTTATACGGTGGGATTTAAGCTGGAGATTATTGAATGTGCTCAAAAGAATGGCATGTGAGTGGAAAATTAATGAGAGACTACAGAAAATCCAAACAATCAACTACAAGAAACAAATGTACCAAGCATCAGAGGACCAAAGCATGGAATTTTCCCAATGAGAGAAAATGAACTTCTTTCTTACGTTTATGCATTACAAAATGAGGGATATCTCCAACACTTTGGATAGAAGCAAAGAAGACATTTTTAAGGAATGACAGAGATTTTTCAGACAAAGATTCACATTACTACAGTGATACTGATACCTTCAGTGAAAGTGATTTATTATGAATTATGTACTATGTTATTAGAATTTTTTGTAAAAATTTTCACAAAGATTATTTGTGAATTTTATGTCTATGAAAATATTACCTAAAAAGAAAAATGAATCTTTTTCGTGCAACTGAACAAAAAGACTATTTAATAAACAGTACATAATCTGGAAACATTTGGTAAGTTACTAATTTTAGTATAATGTACTTTTTTATACCAGTAATCTTTTAGCATTACAGTGCACAATACTATTATGTAGCCGATTTCCCTGCATAATAGTCACAACTAGTCTTTGAATAAGTGAAAAATTGGCAAAAAAGTGTGATTATTAAACAAGTAAACATGGTAAATGAAATCATATGGATGCAAATCAGAGCTGCTAAAGAATTTACCACTTGAATTCCATTAATTTAAATCCTGAGCTGATCAGTCACATAAAGCTTGACTAAGACTGTTACGTAACAAGAAAAATATGGAACATGGTGGAGCAATGCCACTAAATAGGACTGGAGATTTCCAGAAAAGTTATACTGTGAACAGTGATGTAGCTAGAACTCTTGGGCCCCTCTGCAAAAAATTTTCCTGCCCCCCCCCAATAAATTTACTATTCTTAAAAAAAGAGGGGAAGAAAGTCTAGATTTGCAGAGATTTTTAAATAAAATCCAGTAAGTTTTACATACAAGTATATTTCAAGTTTCTATATAAAATCTGCGCCAATCCAAGTTTTTTTCGCTTAATTTAGCAAGCTAGTATGGTAACTGGTTATATTATAAACCGACAGACAACATGATAGGTAAACGTACAAAAAAGAAATTACACTAATGTATAGCCCTCTGTGATCAACTGAGGTTACGAACATGACTTATGCAATAATATACAAGTCATAAATAAGAACTTTTATAATGTAAATGATACATTTGTTAAATATAAAACATATTTATCATAAATTTCATACAGAAAACTATTTGAACATACAATTTTTGTAGAAAATATGTATGGTAAAGTTTTCCCCTTTTTCTTTTAAGAAAACTTTTTGGTACACTAACCTACTCGAATACACGATTTTCATACGTGTTTTAAGTTTAAATATGTAAATGTAGTTTAGCAGGACATTCATGGGCCCCCTAAGCCTTTGGGCCCCTATGTGACTGCATTCCTTGCATACCCTTATTTATGCCACTGACTGTAAAACTGCAACATTACATCACAGTAAGTAGCAGCAGTCACAATCACTTCTCACCAATGGAAGTGAACCAACAGCAGGAAAATCAAATCATATCTTCTTATTCTCCTAACATATTCCTCTAGCACATTCCACTTTTATACTGCTCTGAATGATTTCAAAGATCACTAGTGTTGCTCACTGATTCGGTAAAAATATGATTGTGTTACTGTCCAGTGACCCATTTTCAAATTATTCACAGCTGTTTCTTCTTATTATAATTACAGCAGTTTATAAGTTAGATTTTCCTCCACACAATTGTAATATAATATAGGAAATAATTCAAGAAACTTTTGTTATGAACCTTCATTATGCAGTCAATGCAAGTTATTGTAAATGATAAACACCATAATGATAGAATGAAAATAGAATGCAAACTAAGATGATAGTAATCTGTTATATTCATTTTATCATAAAACAAATTTTCATCTATTTCTGATACTTTGTTTTAAACTTTCTCTTTGATTAGTTAGTATTTTCAGCTTTTGCCTAACATAAATTATTTTTAGATATATATTATTATTAAAATAGGAACAGATGCCTATAAGGCTTCAAATGAAATCAGCAATTTAGTAATAAAACACTAGAAATCGGTGTAAATATTAGGATAACTTGCAATCAATCAAATCACATTTCATTGAGACTATATTTATTTTTTAACTTTAATACAGTCAAAAGTCGTTAATTCGGACACCCATAATCCGGAATAATCTATAATCCGGACCTCAAAGCTACAAACTTTCTGCGCATGCGTCGTTTACGCGTGCGCGTAAGCCCTTTACGGCTACGAATATGCGTGTGTGCAAGCGCATAATACGTTTACGCATGCGCGTTTAATGTATCTGGATGGTATAAGCTAAGCTAAAATTATCTAATTTAGTTAATTTTGCAGATTGCGTTGTTCCTTAATCTTCGAATTGGATCCGGCTTATTATTTTTTGCAGACTGTTAGAGCAATTTTATAAAAGTAAGCTTGAACTTTCGATTATGTCAAATAGAACTTCCGATATATATTTACTAATATATAAAGGATCTACAAAGCGAAAGTATGTTTGAAATCCAAAATCTGTTTATCAATTTCACACTGCTTTGCAGCAGGGGGGGGGGAGAAACGCCACGGCACGCAATGAATTGGAAGTTGATCTGTCAGCACTATCCTTATCTTCAGGGCAGATGTTTTTATTTTATTTGGCTTATAATTCCTTACTAAATGTTGTATTTCATCTCGATGTACTCCGTCTTTGATATGATTTAAATCAAGTTCCTCGTCATTATAATTTGCTTCCAGTAGTGAAGAAAGTGACACAGAGGTTATTGAAAACGAAAAAATTTCGATTGACAAATTAGTCAGTATTCTCGACACAGCAATTATAGGACTTGAACAGCGGAACATTGTAACTAAACAAGAAATCATGTATGTTTAATAGAATTAAAGACAAAGTATTATCACATGAAACGAAGCAACTTAAACAACTTACATTGAAAGAAATGTTTAATAAAGTATACAAATAAATATTAAGCTTTTTCTTTTTGTAAATTTTGATACCCTTTAGATCATAATTGTTCTTTATTTCATAAATTACGATTTCATATTTTTAATTTTGTAATTTCTGCATGCCATCTTACCAGATTTAAACTGATGATCTATAATATAGAAAAATCGATAATCCGGAATCGCCTAAGTCCCGATGAGTCCGGATTAATGACTTTTGACAGTACTACTGATGACAGCCAAACGAAAATTCCAGTGCCGGTCCCCAGGGACCGACGCCGGCCACACCGAAAGTTCGCTGCCTGTTCCCAGGGACTGGCACCGCACTCAACGTGTTAATATTAGGCTTTTTGGATGAAAGTAGAATTCTCATGTAATGTTCAGCATCAAATATGTGACAGGGTTATAATTTTTTTCATGTGTGCTAAATACATTTACATGTTCACCCACAAGTTAATCCTTTACACTTCTTAATAAAATGTTCATTAATCTTTGTAAAAATGTAACTTAAATGGGCAATTCAAGCGACCAAATTTTATCAAATAATCAACTTCTCAATTTGAAATTATGTTCTAAAAAAGCCATGCACCTCATATTAGCTCAAAAATAGGGTTTGTATCTTTCCTCAAGCTAACCATTTGATTTTAGTATGTAGATTGTAATCAAAAAACCTCTTGCCATTTTGCACAGCCAAGAAAAAGTCATAAAACAAATAATAATCACCACTAATCCTCAAAGTAATCACCATCGGCATCCAGTGCCTTTTGACAATTAGTGGCTAGCTGTGCAATGCCATCGCGGAAAAACTCAGGAGCCTTAGACGCAAAGAAGTCCGTGAGGGCCTTTT